CTACGCACGCAGCGGTTTCAAACAACCTATAATCGGGTAAGCAACCTGTCCTGTCACTATGGATCCGAATATGCACTAGGTCGAATGGTCAAAAAGGGGTGCCCCGGTAAAACCGGGGTTTGTGTTCCCATACTGGCAGAGCCCACAACCGGTCAGCCTTATGGTCATGCCTTGACAAGACAAGCCTCTGGCAAACCGTTCCGGAATAGCAGATGGCAAACACGGTGTCCTAGGCGCACAAATGCAAATGCAATGCAAAGAAACACATAAGTGCAGTTAAAACCAGATATCATGAGTTCGAGTCAAGTTCTCTAACTCCCCAGCAGAGTCGCCAGAAACTGTAGACGTCCCCGAACGCCCCAAGAGGAACGAGTCCCCCATTCCGTTCGATATTGGGCTCACTACAGTTCGGACTCTCAAATTGTCACGATTCTAAGTCTGAACCAAAGAGTCCAAATCCGGCAAATTGTTTTGAGAAAAACAGATTTTGAAAGAAGTGCCAAACATAGACTACTTTGCCAGATACAGAGTCGCCACCTAAATATTTTATTTTGGGGAAATTTAGGAAACCCTAACTCGTTTGCTTAAGGCCACGTGTCCGTCATCACCAAAGTTGCCTCGGCTCGGGAACTTGGGTACGATTGGGGAAGGTCACTTCGTGAGCACCCCCGCTCGCCCGATCAAAGATCGGCCTCTACTAACCATGATATCTATTTTTGAAAACATATGGTTCCTTATTCCGGTTATTAGCCTAGATTTCTACTGTGATGCGCACAGCATTACAAGTATAGACGTGGATCGCTGAATTGGAACAAAACATTATCATGTTTATTTTTTGAAAGATGGTTTGATGGTGCTACCCGCAAGTAGGCCTAAGACGTGGATTTGCCACCCTCGGTGGGTCTTAAAAAAAGATGTTTGCCACTATCTAGCTGGGCTTAAAACACACAGTGAATGAATTGTTCCAATCCAAATAACCCAACCTTCACCTACAGCATTCAGGCAGTTATATCACATAAGGCATATAGCCTCATGGTAAGCATGCTATTCATGGCAGTCACTCACCACGCATGCAAGGATTGCTAAAAGCATAAAAACTTACTAAGAGTACTTCCAAGCCAAAAACAGAAGCTAATTAGAAATCCATGCATGATCCTAATGTATACGGAAATGCCTAATGCAACACATGCAAAAATGCAAACTAATAGCAGGCTCGGCTATTCTAAACATGGCATATGAGATGCGTACAGCTAACACTGATTCAACTTGGAATTGAAAATCCAATGCAGTTTAGTTATTTGATGGCGCCGAAGGCCCCGGTGGCATGCAAAACAGATAAATGAATGCAAACATGCTATCATACTGTATGCTAATTGAAAACATGCCCTATCTAACCATTCGAATAGCGGGTAAAATAAAAAGGAGAAAACGTGGGGTTGATGAAGACATACATCATCACACACGCCACACTTATTAAACAAACATTGCCCTCGCGCGGAGGGTCTGAATAAATAATATACAGTCCCGAATGAATATTACTAGTCCAAATATGTCAAAAACCCTAATTAATATACAAATTAAATTAGGAAAGCAATAATATATGGCATGACAAAGCGCAAGGGACTGCCTCAAAGCTCTCCCATCCGGATGATGGACTGATGGCATGCTTAAGTGCCTTGTTGCGGAAAATCCCAACCTGGAATGCCTCGACCAATTAGGCCTACTGTTTGAAATTCTTGGATGCATGCCAAGCTTCGGAAGGCTGCTGATTTCTGATTTGCCTGCCCAACAGATAGGCAACCAAAGGGGCATGGCCAAAGTATTTTTACAATGTATGCATGCATAAGCTTCAGGGAGTGTAGTCCTCGATCCTCATGCCACCAATCACGCATCTCGATGCATGATGGCCGAGGAGTCGATTTGCACGACTCAATATGAAATGAATGCACATATGGACACAACAAGGCCTAGACTCCATCATGGATAATCCGGAGTGTCGGCGACCAGGAATTGAGACACGTTCCGTCACTCGGAGTATGAAACGTACCTCGTTTCCTGTGCTTGGGCTAATTCCTATCCCAAGCACAATGCAATATGCATGATATGCATGAATGCAGCTAATATAGAACCTAGCATACACAATGCTATGAAATGGCATACACGATGCACGAGATAACATGGCATACACAATGCGCTAACATACAACCTAGCATACCCAATGCTATGAAATGAAATGGCATACACAATGCACAATGGACTTACACCAACATGAGTGGACCACAGCCACACTCACATCAGTAGCCATGAGATGAAAAAAAGAGAGACACTTGAAATGCGTGCACACATGCACGCAAACCGAGGACTAACCCTAAGGCACAGAGGCCACTCTAACAAGGCATGGCAAGGCATGAAACATGGTATGCAAACATGAAAATTTTAGTGCTGAAATGTGATGCAAAATGATCCCGAGACATGGAAACATGGCAACCGATGCATGGAATGAACCCGAAATGCAAAACTAGGCATATGCATTGACCTATAGCTATACAAAACATGCGCTATTTGAACATGAAGTGTGAAGACAGATTCAAGGCAGTCCCAAAAAAAGCATATTTTCATTTTTAATCAAGGCCAAAAAATGAACACAAATGGGGCTAAGCTAGCATGCAAAAATGGCCCCGTAAGAGAGGTAATGAAGCAAGTAACAGCTGATGGCCCCAAATGGCCAAGAACCCTTCAACAAAGTTGAATAGGGTGTCAAAATGAAGCACTTTACAGTTTATAACAAGCCACGGATCTAAACACAAACAGGCCTAAAGCAATGTGCAAGAAATGGGCCAAAAGGGAGACAAAGAAGCAAGTGAGGGTTACTGGCCTCAAACAGAGGAGGGCCTTTCAACAAAATTGAAGAGGGGCCAAAAACATGGTATTTTACAGTTAATGACCACACCCAAAACGGTGCACATGCAAGCCAAAAATATTATGCAAAATAAGGCCTAAAAAGAGGCTTAAACACAAAGTATAAAAGGGGAGCCTCAAACAGCAAAAGTGCCTTGATAAAACATGAAGAGGGGGTCAAAATAAGACCATTTAAAGTTCGGACCAAAGCCTAAAAAAATAAGCACAAGGGGCTAACAAATCATGCAAAAATATGGCCAAAAATGAGATAAAGAGGCAAGTGACAGATGGAAGCCTCAAACAGTGAAGATCCCTTCAACAATGTTGAAGAAGGGCTCAAAATAAGCCACTTTACAGTTTATAACCAAGCTCAAAACAGTTTAAAAAAAGGCCTAAAATACTATGCAAGAAATAGACATACAAGAGAGGTAAAGAAGCAAGTGTAAGCTAAAGACCTTAAACATGGAAAGACCCTAAAGAAAACATGAAAAATACATCAAAAAATGACTATTTTCAGTTAGGGTCGGAGCCCAAAAATGGAAGCAAGTATGGGTAATATATTGGGCAAAATAGGGCAAGAAAGAGGGAGGAGAGGACTTACCCTTGAAGACCAAGTCTTTGATAACCCTTGGCTTGAGTTTGGTGGCTCCTTAGCTCTGGAAAACAGCTCCAAGTGGCTGGAATGGAGGATGGGGGTGTGGTGCTAGGTGGTGGTGTGGAAATGGTGTAGGGTTTGGAGAGGTTTTGGTGCTTGGAAGAGAAGGAGAGGGAGAGACAATATAGAAGGCTTAAAGCAAAATTTTGTAACCCTTTGATGGGAGCTGGAGCTGCCATTATATAGGCAAAAGAAGGGGAGAAAAGGGGGGAAAAATGAGGGGGGAAAGAATTCAAGTTTCCCCCCAAAAGTGCAGCCCCCCCGGATACAAAATCTGGGGGGAAACAGAATATATATTTGAACTATACCAGTGGAGGGGATCATGGCCGGCCGGTTATTGGAGTTGCAGGTGGCCGGCCGACTCTTCCCATGGCCGGCCGACCAAGGGTCAAAAGGCTCAATGAAGATTAGTGGCCGGCCACCCTAGAAAGAGGGCCTCCCATGTGTGCACAACACAACCATGTAGTTAAAAACTGGAGAAAGTGAACCAGGAGAGAGAAAATGTCACTTTTAGGAGGGGTTCAAAAGGGTCAACCAGAATTACTGGCCGGCCATGTGATATTGGCGGCCTCCCAAGTGTGTACAACACAAATGTGGTTTGGGGCAAGAAAAAGTGGCCTTAGGGTGGTCAACATTGGCTTTCGAGGGAGAAAAAACGGGCGACGGAGGGCGACGGAGGAATAAAACTGGTTGTCAGAACAATTGCTGGCCTCCCACCCTTCTACGACCTTTCTAACAATGAAATAGAGGTCCCTGCCAAAAATAAACTCAAACCGATGCAAAATGAAGGTCCGGGGGCCGAAACGCGCAGCCCGAGGCCCCGAAAACTGACTGTTAGGCACCGGAAGTGGTGTTCGACCACGAAGTTGGTTTTTCGAGCCACAGTGTCCCTCAAAAGGGAGCAAATAAGATGTATGCCAAAAATTGGAGCAAACGGAGGCGGTTAGGCAGTCCCGAACCGAGGCACACGGCCAACGGCTCCGAAAAATCGGAAACCGGACTCCAAACGGGCAAAATGGCCTACGACCACGAAACGTAGCCTACGGCCACTGAGAGAGGATCTACGAGACCTCTTCCTCCCTTCGGGAAGAGAAAATAGAGAAAACAGAGTCTGGTTCGCAAACCGAGGCAAAGCATGAAAGAGTCCGGAAGTTCGAAAGCAAGGCTCGCAGCCGAGGCTCTGAAACCTCTGAACGAGCACGATATGCAACATCACCAAGCGCTCAATCGGTGACGTCTGAGTCTTAAGGTCGGTCAAAAATGGGGTGTCTACAAGGTGCTCCTCAGGCGCACACCTCAAACTGTGATGCATGCAAGCCTTTGAGGAGTACCTCCCAAAAATCAAAGTTTTGATGCATTTTGTTTATCCTTTACGTTGTGTAAGTTTGTTCTTTGTTATAATTGCAATTTTTTCAGGTTCTCATGAAATGGTTAATTGCCCTTGTAGGGTTTTTATTATGATGCTTTTTATGGCGATCTGGGCTTAAATGAGGATCACTTCAAACAGATTGCATCAGGGGCAGCGAAAGCTGTTGGGGTATTGCTCATTTACTATTTTTATTTAGAAGTTGGCCTATTATGAAGTTACACTTGGTTTTTTCCTTGTTAATTATATACTGTTGTTTATTTATTTATTTAATTCAAATTCAGTACATGTAACAATAAATATGCGTTTTTAAAATTAGTTTAGGACAGTGCAAAAATTTTATCAAGAATTGAAAATTAGTGATTATTGTTTAGATGTCGTGATCATGCTTTCTTAAAATTCAATTGCCTTTGACATATTATTTAGTTATGACCATGGATTGGATTTCCAAGAAGATTTGGTAGTCTTTTCAACATCATTTCTTCTAAACTATTTCCCCTTTGCCTTTTGATGAAATGTTATGAACTTTTTTTTTTTTACATGAACCATATTCTTTTGGTGAATATGAATACAGAGTGGGATGTGGTATTGTATATCCTCCACTTTTGGGGGATATACAATCCCACCGGATATTATATCCCCTTCAAAAAAAAATTGCAAACATGGGATATATGGACCCCACCGGATATAATATCCAATCCCAATCTTTATATCCCCCAATCAAACAGGGCCTTGGTGAATATGAATACAGAGTTCTCTGTTTTCTCTTCATGCTCAAGATAGGTCTCTTTATTATATATGCATGCACACAAGTGAGTTTGTTCTTACATTGCATCTAACATTTTGATTCTGAATTTGTAGAATCATGATAAAATTGTGGGATTTCTTTCTTAATTGCTTTAGGCTTATGATTTAGCTCATAATGTTTGTGCTTTCAATGCATTGCAAAAGGATACTCTTCTATAAGCATATATTACCTTAAGGCTGTGTTTGGTTAGAGGATTTGATGAGGGAAATGGAAAGGGAAAGGAAATAGAAAGAAAATGAGAAAGAATTGATAGGATTCGAATTCCAAGTTATGTTTGGTCGAGTTTGGAAATGGAGGAAGAAAGGAGTCTAAGTGAACCTAAAACACTAATGCTGTGTTTGGTTGGGGTTTTTGGGGTGGGATTTGGAAAGGGAATGAGAAATGTAATCCTATTTATGTTTGGTTATAATAAAAAATATATGGGAAAAGAAAGGGGGTGAGAAATAAATAAAGAAATAGGATACCTTTTAGGACATCAATTCTATTTTATAACCAACACAACCAAACATAGTTGGGATTTGGAATTCTATTAATTCTTTCTCCTTTTCCTTTCATTTCCATTTCCCTTTCCATTTCCCTTCCCAAATCCCCCAACCAAACACAGCGTAAAACACAAAAAGTGGGATTGCATTTCTCTCTCACTTTCTTTTTCCTTGTGTTTTCCACTATAACGAAACAAAAGATGAGATTGCATTTCATTTTCCCTTTCCATTTCTCACACCAAATCTTCCAACCAAACATAGCCTAAATGCTTTTCATTTCAGGAAAAGCAGCCTTTTGATCGCATTGAAGTTACAAGAGGCCAGGCTCTTGAGATGTTTTCTGAAAATAAATTTAAGGTAAGTTTACATCACTTGGAGCATTTGATCCTTCAATTGCTTTGATTTATTTGCTTTTTTTTTTTTTTGCATTGTATCTTATACTTTGTTTTTCTATTGTCTTAACCAGATTGAAATCATTAATGAATTACCTGACGACAAAACTATCACAGTATACAGATGTGGCCCCTTAGTTGATTTGTGTCGTGGACCACATATACCAAATACATCTTTTGTGAAAGCATTTGCTTGTTTAAAGGTTTGGAGTTTGGTTATTTGCATGCATTTTACAAGTATTTTGTCTGTGTTATTTACAATTTTAATATTCAGGCTTCATCAGCATATTGGAGGGGAAATAGAGAACGTGAAAGTTTGCAAAGAGTTTATGGGATATCTTATCCTGATCAAAAAAGTTTGAAGGTAATATTCATTTGTTATGCAATTTCTTTTGAATGTGTGTTATTTCTATGTATTTGCATTACATTTCAAATCAATTGTTTTTGTTAAGCTGCAAAGAGTTCATGTGTTTGTTATGCTTTTCTTCTAAACGTGTTCTATTATTTGATAGATTTTTCGATTTGGGTTCGATGAGGACCGGAGAATAAAAATATATATTATTGGTGACGGATTGTTACTTCTGGAATGAAAATTTGCTATGCTTTTGTGCAAAAATTTAAGTGGAAGTGTGATGTACATGTTTAAAATATATATTATAATTAAGACATTTTTTTTTCTTACAATACATTTATAAATATAAAATATCTAAACACTTCCCTAGGCGCTCCCAACTTTAGATTCTTTTTATATGGGAAAATATCTCGTAACTCAAATTTTGTGACTCAAAAGTGACTCAAATGGCCAAAACGACGTCGTTTTGGCCATTTTTATGTTGTTCTGTACTCAAAACGACATCGTTTTGGCCATTTGAGCCACTTTTGTGCCACAAAATTTGAGCTACGTAGCATTGTCGTTTTATATGCATGCCCCAGCCCCTCTCCCACTTCGTGCACTAAGGTCCATGTGTCTGTGACAGTATGTGCTCCTCTTAGTTTTTACCTATTAAATATAGGAAAATTTACGTATAAATCCCATCTTGAGGAATGGTGATCCAGGGGAAATAGAGAACGTGAAAGTTTGCAAAGAGTTTATGGGATATCTTATCCTGATCAAAAAAGTTTGAAGGTAATATTCATTTGTTATGCAATTTCTTTTGAATGTGTGTTATTTCTATGTATTTGCATTACTTTTCAAATCAATTGTTTTTGTTAAGCTGCAAAGAGTTCATGTGTTTGTTATGCTTTTCTTCTAAACGTGTTCTATTATTTGATAGATTTTTCGATTTGGGTTCCATGAGGACCGGAGAATAAAAATATATATAATTGGTGATGGATTGTTGCTTCTGGAATGAAAATTTGCTATGCTTTTGTGCAAAAATTTAAGTGGAAGTGTGATGTACATGTTTAAAATATATATTATAATTAAGACTTTTTTTTTTCTTACAATACATTTATAAATATAAAATATCTAAACCCTTCCTAGGCGCTCCCAACTTTAGATTCTTTTTATATGCATGCCCTTGCCCCTCTCCCACTTCGTGCACTAAGGTCCATGTGTCTCTGACAGTACGTGCTCCTCTTAGTTTTTACCTATTAAATATAGGAAAATTTACCTATAAATCCCGTCTTGAGGAATGGTGATTCATTTGGTCCTAAGAACCAATTAGTCCCATTGATTTTGGAAAGATAGATTTAATATATTATTTAAAAATTAGATTTACGGTTATACTCTTATTTCTATTCTATTTCCTTCTATTTTTTATTATTTTTTTTTTGTCTAGAAAGGTAAGGTACACAATGTATGAGAATCAAATTTGGATGAATTTTTATATGAAAATCTTTTTTATTTGGAAAACATTTCAAAATAAATACAAAAATGACTTGAAATATGAGATTCTTCAAACATTTCAAAAAGATGTAGGATTCTTCAAATATTTTAAAAAGAGTATAAAAACTATTTTGTAAGCTTTGGCCAAATGTATAATTTCAAATTGTAATACTCCAATGTAACAATGTAACACACCATAATTTTTTTTAGTGTAATACCCTAATGTAACACACAAAAAAAAAATTTAGTGTACTTTTCTTAAACGTAACACTCTAATTTAATACTCCAAAACAAACTCCTTAGTGTAACACTCTAATGTAACACACAAAAATTAATTAGTGTACTTTTTCCAAATGTAACACTTTAATAAAACACTTCAAAAAAATTCCTTAGTATAATACATTAATGTAACACAAAAAAAAATTCTTAGTGTACTTTTCTTAAATGTAATACTCCAATATACCACTGAAAAAAAAGATATGAGATTCTTCAAACCATTTCAAAATGAGTACAAATATTCCTTAGTAAGTTTTGGACAAATATATAATTTCAAACTGTGAGTGTTATATGTTAGGAAAAAGTACACTAAGGAGTTTTTTAGTATTTTTGTGCGTATTACATTGAAGTGATATGTTTGAAAAAAATACACTAAAGATTTTTTTTTTATTTTTTTTTAGTTACATTGGAGCGTTACGTTTGGGAAAAGTACACCAAAGAGTTTTTTAGTGTGTTACATTAAAGTGTTCCGTTATTGGAGTGTTACATTAAAGTGCTACGTTTTTGTTTGTAATAGTGAGATTTGTTTCAGAATAAAAAAAAATTCAAAATTTCTATAGTGCGGATTGCCCAAATGTGTAATTTTACATTTTGAGAAACCCACTTTTATCTCTAAAAAATTAAAGCCAAACATGTAAGTAACTACCATTTTATGTAGTTTTCACTTTAATGGGACCTTTGGGTTCATAAGAAAAAAGAGAGAATTAAACCGTTCATAAGATTACATTTTGGGATTTATTGATGTTTCATCCTTAGTAGTTGGAATCGCTGAAGTTGCTCACAAATCAATCGAAGAAGCGCGATTCTGAGCTTCTGAGGAAGAATTGGAGAAGAATCGCGAGTCTAATGCTAGAGAAACGCGATTCTGAGAAGAGAAGGAACTTATCTAGATCTATCATCCTCACTCTCTCTATCGATCGTCTTTGTCTTCTCTCGATCTTGTTGTCTCTCTCTCTCGATCTCATCGGATCGATCTCATCGTCTCTCTCTCGGTCGATCTTGTCTCCTCTCTCTCTCTCTCTCTCTCTCTCTCTCTCTCTCTCTCGATATCGTCTCCTCTCGAGATCGATCTCCTCCACCTCCTCTTCTCTCTATCTTCTTTTCTCCCTATCTCTCTTTCCACTTCTTCTTCTATTCCATTCATCTGTCTTCTTCTTCTCCTCGCCCTCTTTTATTTTATTTTTGTAAGAAAATAAATAAAACAAAAAATCTAATAAAAGTATATAATTATAATATTTTAACATATGATTTTTTATACTCCCTCCGTCCCAAAATATTAGTTCCTTATTTCATTTTTCATTGTCCCAAAATATTAATCCCTTTTTAAAAATCAAGGAATAAAATAATATGAATTTACCATTCTTCCCTTCTTTTAAATTTATTAATAAAACAAAAAGTAAAATTATGACAATTGATATTCTAAAAAAAAATGTACTATCAAAGGGTAATTTTGAAAAATTAATATTTTAAAATATAATAATTATACTATAAAAAAAGTTAGATTTCCCAAAAGGAACCATTATTTTGGGACGAAGGGGGTACCTTTTTTTTAAATTTAAATTTATAACATATATTTTCATTATCATTAGAGGAAAAAAATACATAATTTTACAATATATTTTTATATATTATATTATTTAATATATATACAAATGCTCCCTACCAACTATTCTTGGAATGTCTACGATTCTGCGCTCCCGCTTCCGCTTCCGCTTCACCCTTAAATATATCATGTAGTTATGAGAAACATTATGATGCTGTTGTGGGTTTCAAATGACAATATTTTTAATGTATAAAAATCATTGTTGCAGGATTATATTGCCAGACTGGAAGAGGCAAAGAAATATGACCACAGAGAACTGGGGAAGACTCAGGAGCTTTTCTTTTTTCACCCACTGAGGTATAGTTGTTAGTTACTCAAGATTACTTTTATGTGGTTAGGATTATGCTTGATACAACTTGTTGCGTTTTGTATGTTTTTCAGCCCAGGAAGCTGTGTCTTCCTTCCGCATGGTGCTCGAATTTACAACAAACTGGTGGAATTTATACGAAATCAATATTGGAAGAGAGGATACCAAGAGGTAAATAGTTTATGCCCATAAATACTGAGTGACTTCAGATAAGTAAGTGCATATGGTTTATCATTAACTTGATTTGGGCAAGTTGTGACGCCAAATATCTATAACATGCAACTCTGGGAAACATCTGGTCATGCTGCAAACTATAAGGAGAATATGTTTTTAGTTGAGGTGAGATGCTTTGCATTTGTCCTGATTATGATGGTTTGCAATTGAAATCTTGGGCATTTGAGTGATTTGTTGTTGCTCATTGCGTACCTACATTTTTTGGAGTCATTTTTCTTAAATATAATGTTTGGTTTGTATTTGTGAAACAATTTTGAAAAATAATTTTTTAGAAAGAGTTTACAAAATTTGAAAATTTGTCTGTTTGGTTGTTTGTTTTGAGAATAGTTTTGGAATTTGAGATGATTTAGTTTTGAGAATAGTTTTCTTTTTTTTTTTTTTTTGTAGTTGAATAGATGGGTGTGAGAAAAAAAAAATTGATTGATGTGTAAGATGTGAGAGAAAGAGAGGAGAGAAAAAAAAATGATTGATTGATGTGTAGTAGAGAGAAAAGTGATTTTGATTTTTTTTTTCAAAAATATTTAACCAAACAAAATTTTGAGATTTTTTCTTAAAAATTGTGTCTCCAGATACAAACCGAACGAGGCCAATAGTTTTATGATTATATTTAATTTTATATTTTCCTTTGCACTTATTGTCCTTTGTAAGAAATATGGTAGTTCGTTTGAGATTTTTGTAAGTTAGCCTCTGTTTGTTTCGATGTAAAATATTTTACACAAAAGATATTTTTCTTGTAAATTGATTTTGCACAAAAAACAAAAAAAGTTTTTATTTTTGTTTTTCTGCTTTTGATTGACACTTGATACAAAAACATTTTATTACCTAAAAGAGAAATTTTGATTAAACAAATTGTCATTTATGACTTTTCAGTGAGCTAATATATTTATTTGAAAAGGCTAAATGTGTTGAAAGGTAGTGAGTGAGAATCAATTTTGTAAAAATTGACTAACTGAATTTTTAAAGGTAAGTAATTTTTGGAAAAATGATGCAAAAATATTTTTCTTAAAAAATATCTTACTTTTTGTTCAACCAAACAACAGAAATTGAGTAAAATATTTTTGAGAAAAACATTTTACATCAAAACAAATGGAGCCTTAGTGGAGAATGAAATTCTTTGTTGTATATTACCTGAGTAATATAGATTTTTATCTGTGTTCATATTTTCTTTCTTCAGTGGGTAAATGCTTGATTATATAAGTAATATTTCTGGCTTATTGGTACAGATTGAGAAGCAAGAGTTCGGACTCAAGCCAATGAATTGCCCAGGGCACTGTTTAATATTTGATCATCGAGTTCGTTCATACAGGGGTTAGTTCATTTTAAGCCATACAACTTTTAGATTGCATTTTCTTTCCTTTTGTTTTTCACCTGGGTTTTTTTAGTGGGCTAAATTATGCTCCATCTTGAATTTTATTGGGTAACTGGGTGTGTGTCGAAATTGAAACTAGCTTGATCTTAAGAATGAGTGGAAAAGGTTGATTTGAAGAACTCAAAACCTGAATTTATCTTGTTTTCTCCTGTATCTATGCTGTGTGGATTGAATATGTTTGGGCTTATATTTCCCCCAAAGCTGTGTTATGATCTATTGTTTCCTTTGAGTGATATGTGCTGTTTGTACCCTTATTTTTTCATATAATTCTGCAGAACTTCCTCTTCGCCTGGCTGATTTTGGAGTCTTGCATCGGAATGAGGCTAGTGGTGCACTTAGTGGGTTAACTCGTGTCAGGAGATTTCAGCAGGTAGCTTTTTGTTGTATTATGTCAGGACTAGTCCTTGTTACGATATTTTGTGATCTTGATGAATTCACTAAACTTTTGTCCTAGTTAAACAGTAGCTATTGTGCTAGCATTACAGGCTACTGTCCAGCAAGACCATATTCATTTGGAATTTAGCTGGTCCATTGTTGTGTAACACTTTAGTAAATAAGACTAGAAAAAAGAAAATGACAAAGAGAACGTAATATCATTTTACTACCAATTGAGTAGTAGTCCATGGCTGATGGAAGCTCTTTACACCTAACGCTACAACTTTTGTACAGGATGATGCTCACATCTTCTGCAGGGAGGCCCAGGTTGGATGAACCTTGCTCTTATGTTGCTAAGAACTGTTAACATTTTGTTTTGAATTCCTGGTATGACTATTGTTGTTAATTGTTCAGATTAAAGATGAAGTCAAGAATGCATTAGAGTTCATCAGTTCTACCTATGAGATATTTGGGTTCACTTTTGACTTGAAGCTATCAATGGTATGACAATATGGTACTCATTTGTGTGTCAAAGTTATTTGTTTAATTGTCTTGAGTCATACTTAACATGTTAATGGTGATTTCCAATTTTTCTACAACTTGGGTGATGCTTTGCATATGTGAGATGACTAAGATAAAATGAGTTTATTGGTTGGTGGCTTCTTCTGCTTCTATTGTAATTAGGTTTTCAAAAGCTTACCCAAAAGAAAAGTAGTTAAGACATAAAAAATAAGAAACTTTTGTACTTTATTGTTAAGAATATTAAAAATATTCCCCGTTTAGTCTCCCATTGGATGGCGGTTTGGGAGGGTAGATTGGGTACAGACCTAACCTTCCTTTGGCATTATTTTTGCGAAAAGTGGTTGTGGTTGCTCTGAGGTTCTCACCGCCAACTTCAAAGTTTATAGGCCAAGTCTTAATCATTGAACCAGTGGCCCTCCATTGTAAAGAGCATTATGGACCCAATAAAAACTTCATATGATGACCCAATAAGGGAGTTGGCCCCAAATAAGCCCCATGGACTCCTACTGCAGGCTGCCATGCCAGTCTGTCCTAGACTCCTAAAACTTGATAAAACAAAATAAAGTTGTAACAGCAGCAGTAGTCTTATTAAAAGCATAAGACTTGAGTTGAACCCAACCTTGTTTAGATGTGATCATGTGATCTAAAGTTTGGCTCCTATTAAAGAGTTGGTGGGTCTTGAAATATAATTCTTGTGAGTTGTGTTCTCATGAATATCTTCTATTGTGTTTTGATTAGTTTTAGTATACATTCTCACTTTTGGACGTTCATTTGGTTGTGCTGGAATTTTAGCAATCATTGATTACTTTCTAGTTTATAGTCTACCTTTTGCAACATACAAGAAGGATAATGTTTATTACCTTATTTCGTTGTTTTGTCTCTCTTTTAGTGTTCTTTTATTCTGGTATACAAATTTTATTGTTTTACCCTATTTTGTTCTACGCATTTCATTGTGCTTCGATAGAGGAGGTCCGAAAGATAGTATTTATTCTTGCTAACACATGTTTTGTATTGTAGAGGCCAGATAAATATCTTGGGGACTTAGAAACATGGGAAAAAGCTGAGGCTGATCTTACAGAAGCATTGAACGAGTTTAAGAAGCCATGGGAGGTAATTACGGATTCACTTATCTTGAGGTTCTTTTTTGCTACATGCTTTACATTTTCTTTTATTTTTTTTGTTTATTTTCTTAGAATTAATTAATAAGTTTAAGTTTGTTGATTAGATCAGTCATATATAGTTCAGATGTAATTTCATTCTAGTCTTTTCTCCCATGGTAGTGTGTTGCTCATTACTTGTAGGAGAGTGTTCACCACAATTGTCTTATATCGGTTTGTCTTCAGGCTGTGTCTGGGTTTTGAATTACTACTGCATGATCACTCTAGTAATGAATTACATCTAGATAACATATGCATTGCTGTACACTATTTATTTCATGTAAAATATCTGTATTTATGTATGTATAAATGTACTTATGCATGTATAGTAGATATTGAAGTTTATAGTACTTGGCCAAGTAGAGCTTTGGCCTAATCAATCCATGAGCCTAGCTGAGAACAAGTTTAAGGTCTCAAAGTTTTCAAACGAAGGCTGAACCCATAAATAATAACCAAACTAAACTAAGCCTTGTGTCCCACTCGACCTCACTAAAGAATACCACACGAAAATGGTTGTTGTGAAAAGCAGGGATTGCGTATAAGTTTGGAAATCAACAGTTACAGTGAAATCAAATCATATACATATGACCTTATGATAAAGAATTACAGTGTGAAAATATGTGCCGTTTATTGGATTATCAGAACCCAATGTTGAAAAACGAATAACCTACTATATGGTGGAGTCAGATTTTTGATGGCATCATAATTGTGATCTGCAAGTTGTTTTGTTATTCTTGATTCTCAAACTGGCTGTGAACTAGTATATAAGATGGGTTACATGCCCCATGGCAACCATTACTCCTCGAAATAAGAGAGGCGCGATGTTTGGAACTACACATTTGATGAGAGAAAACATGCAACCATGGAACGATGGAATATTTTCTGTTGGTGAATTGGATATTGATCATTTTTGGATGCTTTTTGTTTGAAACTATGTTTGTTGTGCAATCAATCGTTTGTAATTTCATTTTCTTATTAGGGACATTTGTGGAACAGAACATGTAGAAAACACTTTGGGTGCTTCTGCTTTAACGTTTATAATAAAGCAATAAAATTTCAACAAATTTGGGTAATTTTGGCTATGTATCTTTATGTCCTGGGCAGTTTTGTTCAGTAAGAGGTTTTGGTCCGAAGGTAGTTTCTCTGAGTGATTTATGTACAGACTATAAGTGGTTGAAATGGGTTAGATGTGGATCGTAAATGGTCAAGTTTTGAATATGCTAGTGTTTACGTATTTGGTCATCTGGATGGGATTTTGTTTGTAAAGCATTGTTCTATGTATTTCCTCTTGGGTATCTTTATGCATTGCAATTCACCTTTTGAGTCATGTTATGTAGATAAATGAGGGTGATGGTGCATTTCATGGGCCAAAGATTGATATCAGTGTTTCTGATGCACTGAATAGGAAATTCCAGTGTGGAACTTTGCAGGTTAACTTGTTAATGCCTTTTGTTTTTCTTTCTTTGTTTCTCTTTATTTTATTTTAATTTTATTTATCTTTATCTCCTATTTTGTTAGCGTCACATGGTTCTCATTTAATTGATAATTATTGCAGCTGGATTTCCAACTTCCTTCTCGTTTCAACTTAGCGTACTCAGCGGAGGATGAAGCTAAGAAGGAAAGACCTGTTATGATACACAGAGCCATTCTAGGTTCCGTTGAACGTATGCTCGCTATACTTTTGGAGCATTATAAGGGCAAATGGCCTTTCTGGCTTAGTCCGCGTCAAGCAATTGTTTGCCCTGTTTCAGAGAAATCGGAACCATATGCACTACAGGTTATTTTGCTTTATGTGCTTTCATTGTTCTTTCCTGTATCCTGTGAATTTTGGCTTGATGCACGTGCATGTGGTAGAAGCAATGTTGGTTGTGCTGTTTCTTGTTTTCAGTATTTTGTGTCCTAATTCCCATGTCTTGAATAAAAAATCGTGCCTTTTACTTCTTATTATGCTTGGACTTGCACTTGGTTAAGAAATTGTTTAGAGTCTGTTATCACATCCATTACTGTAACTTGTTTTTATTTATGGACTACATGTGCTTTTTCTGTTTGTTGAATTGCCCTTCTATATTTAACTTAAATGGTTATTGCAACTTTTTCCTCTCAATGGTAGTGGTAGGTATAATTTAAATGTTAGTTGCACCTATTGCTTAGATGGAGCCAAATCACTGGAAATGGTTCATAAATTGTGTCAAATGTATCTGTCTTACTTTTATCGATTACTGAATGATTTATACGATCAATGTTATACATATTTTTGTATTGATCTGCATCTTGAAAGATTCTTTGTGGGGCAAAAGCTTTTGATTTCGTTTGTTATCGAAGATATAGGATATTGTTTCTTACAATTAGAAATTTGAATAAAGCTCATGTAAAATTACACTATAATATGTTAATAGTCTTAAGCCATTGTTCTGTTGAATTATTCTAATGAATAGATGATAATTTTGAATTTGGGGTATCAACAGCTAACAAAGTCTCAAGGATTTTCATATCTATCATTTACATAAACAACTGTTCTTTGCCTCTTCCCATTTGCACATTCCAGAAGCTGAGCAGTTTGAATGTCTTCTTGTATTTAATTTTTATTAGGTAAAGGACCAGATTCATGAAGCTGGATTTTACGTTGATGTTGATACATCTGACAGAAAAATTCAGAAAAAGGTGAGCTTACAACTCCCATTCTAGGCCTCAATTTACCATTCTGCTACCATGAAAGTTTTTGCATATAATACTGATGAACAAAGCTCGCTTGTGCAATTTATTTGGCTTTAATGAACCCCTTTGGTATCTTGTAAGGCTGTCTAATTGGATCCTGAAGGCATTTCTTCCCTAAGTGCTGACTAAGCACTCTTTTTTAGATTAATAAACTTAATCTTAAGTTCACACATATTTATTGACTGGTGGGATTACTCAAGTACGTGCCAATATCTAGATTATCTTTAAAAACACACTTTTATTCCCTCTCTTACTTATAAGCCCAATCATACAACCCCTTCTCTTGTGGATTCCAAACTAGAGAAACATAATTATTGTGCAGCTCATTCGGAAAACATTGCCCTTTGACTATATTTTGGGGTCATTAATTTTTTATTGTTTAGCAAATAACTGATGGCTCATTTATGACCAATTGCATCTAATAACAATTTACCATGGCTTGGACTTCCTCGTATCAAACTCCAAACTGTTTATTGATACTTGAACTCACTATCCATCCCAAATACCAGATCACCCAACAACTTTTATTCATTGCCCTTTTGTCATGATGCCATTTGAGTTGATTTTAATGTTAAAATTGAAGATACAAATTTCTGTTGGTTCTTCTGCACTTGATCTTTGAATTTTGTTCTCATTAAAGAAGAAAAGAAAGGAATTTTTCTTTGGACGTCAACTTTAGAATTTTTGATATCCAAAATTTTAAACTTTCATTTTGGATTTCCAAGAGAGTAATACTTGTATACTGAGAGTTTTGGCTCTGTGCAGATACGAGAAGCTCAGTTAGCACAATACAACTACATATTGGTTGTTGGTGAGAAGGAAACAGAAGCTGGAACGGTAATATCCATTCCCTGGTGGTGAATAATGATCAATGTATAAATATTGATGTTTGATAGTCATATTGAGCTTCTGAAATAGGGAGATTCTATCGGAGCAATTGAATACAAAGATATTGTGGAAAATTGATGGAAACTAGTAGTAGAAACATTTAGACACTTTAAATGATATTTAGCATATGTTGGAGAATACTCACTGGATTGTTCAAATATCTAACATTCTGTGATTAAATCTCCTATTTCATTTTTTGTTTCATGTGTTAATCTTGTCCTGAATTCCTATGGATTTTGCAATCTGATTGTTCACACCATTTGAATTTTATGCCTCCAATCTAATGCTTTTAAATGTTTTCCAGGTGAGTGTGCGGGTGAGAGACACAAGGGATCTTAGAGATGAGAGCATCGAGGGCCTGCTCAAATTCTTCAGGGACGAAGTTGCTGCTTTTCGTTAAGGGTGTGCTTGTACAGAAGAAGGATTCCGATGAGACAATCAACATCAGGATACTTAAGCCTGGATGTTGAAGAAGTTTCTAATATCTCGTTACAACTTATTATCTGTATTCCTTTCTTTCTTTGGTTCCTTATTTTATTCTCATTATGCTCATTTTCTGTTATATATTTATTTAATTTAATTTTCTGATTTCCTAACATTTTTTTACGTACATTCTCATAATTGTAACCTGGAAGTTATTAAACACATCATTTAATTGTTAACATTTAATCTCGAATCTCTGTGTCTTGAAGTTGAGATATCAAGTAGACCACGATGACTACAGGTTGAAACTAGTGTTTATAATTTTAAAACGTGTTTAAGTTTGACTTATTTACACAACGAGAATTTTGAATAAGTTTTCATTGAGCTTGATACTAGTCGAGTTTGAATAGTTTGTTTATTTACAACTCTACACGTATCTGCATACGTATTGACTGTGTGTGTGCCTTGGCAATTGTAAAAGGAGTTGGATGACTGCATTTCTATCTAGAAGGCCATGAAGCTAAGTTGATATAAACCATTTGTTTTTTTCAAGCAGCTTCTCTCTCTTCATTTTTGTTGCGGTTTCTATGTTTCTCTGGATTATTGCAAACCTAACAAAATCTGATTCATATACGTCTGTTTTTGCTATAATTATTGTTAGTTGTAATTAAAATTTACAATTTAGTAACATTTTTATGTGATGAATTTTTTAATTTGTCGCTAAAAATTAAAAATTAGTGGTATTTTTTTGTGATATTTTTTGAAATTGTCGTTAAAATTTATAATTAATGATTTTTTTATGACAATTTTTAAACTGTCATTGAAAATTAATAATTAATGATATTTTTTAATAATGTTTGATAAAAAATATTATGAATGAATTACTTTATGAAGATTAATAGAAATACAAAATGATAAAATTAATGTAAGCTAGAATATACCACAATTACCTATTAAAGAAATATATAAAATTACTTTTATGCAGTTTACATTTCATGTTAATCTTCATGTCAAAACTTTAGAACAAGTTTATGCTCTAGAAAAATCAAGGGAACCTATCAATTACTTGATACTAATACTATTAAACGACATTTAAAAACTGATCATAACTTTATTCACTTAGGATTAATTCAAATTGGAATCAAACCATTAACTCAACAAGGTAAAAATACCTCTGTTTTATTATGTTTAAGAGATGCTCATTTTCTTGATTATAATGATAGTTTAATGGGCATGATGGAAACTGGTCTTCACAGAGGGCCCGTCCATTTTAATTGCTTTCTTGATTTTACTCTTAGTCTTAGAGATCCGCATATATTAGATGCTTTAACTTTGAATATTCAGTTAAATGGTTCTTTTACAAATATGAAAGAAAAAGTTCATAATATTGCTTTAATTTATCGTGTTTATTACAAATGTATTAAAACTAATATAAATGTTCAAGCTTTACACAAGAGTCCAAAAGACAAAACTTTACTAATTCAAAGTAGTAGCAATGATACTAATATAAATATTCCTGAGATGATTGAATGAAAATATATTAGTCTCCCAGATCAATGGGTTATAGTCAATAAAAATTACAAATATAATAAAAAACAATCTACTAGTCAAGATGTCCAAGATATTCAACAATTTACTGATGGCTCAATTAGGATTAAATTCAATAGATCGACTAATAGGTAAAATGGTGTTCTGATGAAGGAGACAGAAGATGAAATATTTTAATTTTGAATAATAGGTAAAATGGTGTTATGATTAATAGCTCTGATACGAAAAGGAGATAGAAGCAGGAAGCAGGAAGTAACACTAAACATGATGATTAAAACTAAAATAATTAAAGTAAAACTTACAATTATTTACTAGAATTACTGGAATGAAGCAAACAGTTCTTTAAAATATATAACTTGAAACTTGAAAACGAATTTGAAAATATAAAATTACATAAGTAGTTATTTTTCTTGAGGAATGAGCACTCAAATTTTTCTAACTCTGCCTTATTTTTGACCGAAGAGGCTCTTTTATAGATGAAAAGAGTTACTATGAGCCTTGTGAAGGAGTTACTGTGAGCCTTGTGAAGGAATTTGACTTTGAAAGAAGCACATGGGAGCTGTCTGCAACTTTCGGTGAGTGACTAAAGTTGATGGCTGCCTTTGATTGTACTGAATTTGTCGATTGGATGAATTATGATGAATGATGAATAGTAATGTTGACTTTTTGATGAATAGTGAACAATAAATTTGACTTTTTTCACTATTCGTTACTTTCTGACGGAGGCATATGACTGAGGGAATCAATATAGATATATATATCAGCAGCTTTTCTCAAAAGAAGAGTATTGATTGAAGCTGATAATTATAACTATATAGAATCCAATGACTGAATTAGGCATATGGGTCCTGAGCATCTTGAAACTGGGGCCCGTATGGATCTTGATTAGTTGAGCCTTCAGAAGAGTCTGAACCTTCTTCATCAGATTGTGACTTGGCTTGGGCAATGAGTAGGCGAGCTATTTGGAAAAGCTCATCTTTGGATGACTTGGGCTTGACTTTGGGCTTAGCCTGAGATGATGAGGGTTTAGCCTTGACTTTGGACTTTGTTTGATCAGATTTGGGCTTTGCTGACTTGGGCTTGGAAGAACTAGAAGTTGGGCTTCCAAGATTGACTGAAGGAAGTTGGCTTCCTTGTATTAATGAAGCAGTCGGATTTTGCTGAGCTTTGACCATGGCAGGTGTTGGAGCATGATTATTGACTGGGAATTCTGCTTGAACTTATTCAATGATTCGTGGAATTTTGAAATTTTCCCACCATTTGACAAAGTGTTGGCGAAATATTATGTCATCAGAAATAGCATATTGCCACTTAAATATCTAGGGGATTTTGTATTTGGACATAAAAATGAGCAATGTAGGGAATTTCTTTTGTTGTGGACTAAATGAGAAAACAGTAGAAAAATAATTGACTTGTTCAATCATAGTAGAGGGGAAGATATCATTTATAGCCCCATACTGAGTCCACCAACGGAGAAACCAAGTGGGGAAGTCTGACTTGAACTTATGATCAAATTGGAGGAACCAAGAACGACTGTTTGACTCATTTTGATAAAGGAGGACCTTAAACCAAGCATCAATATAGTCATAATAACTATATTGGATTGCATGACCAGGTAAGTCTCTGAGTTGGAAGTGAGATCCCCATTCATTCAAAGAGACTATATTGTGAATATATAATGAATGGTACACAATTTTACTGGTGTAAGTCCGATCATAAATGAGTTTAATAATAATGGATTGATGGTTGAACAGGATGTCTTTGTAGTAGGTAATTGACTTTTCTGGATGAAAAGGAACAAAATGACATCTATGAGGAAAATAGGATTTGACTAGATCAAGAACAGTATGAGTTTTTGGGTGACTGGGTTCTTTGAAAAAGATATTAGTCGTATAAGATTTAACATAATCAGAACAGGCTGATTTAATAGGGTTAGGAGGGTAAGGAGTGACTGACTGAGATGAAGAAGCAAATGGGTCAGTAGCAAATGCAGATGTATAACTGAGTTTAGGAATATTACCAAGGACTTGACAACGGTTGACTAATTCAGCAGAATGGTATCTGGTAACTAGTTCCAAAGGAGGAACTGGTTGACTGGAAGGAACAAGGGCCTTACTAGGAGGTCTCAAAGGTCTCTGAGCAGACATCTGTAAAATAGTTGGACTGTGTTAGGTTTTATTCTTGGCAATCCCGTTTGACAAAACTCCTTTCAGTTGTATTTATTTTCGCACTTTTTATTTCAGTGAGGCTATGAGTGTTTAGATGCGAATCCAACCCGAATTGTGCTTTTCAGAGAAGTTTGTGATGCTAATGCTTTCAAAGATTGCCACTTCGCTGATTATGACAGGGATCGAGCTGGTTCCAGCAGTTTTTGGTCGCCTGCAAAAGTACTGAGATGTGTGATTTCGCGCTCGAGCGGGCTTTCTGGCGCTCGAGCGGACCTCTGTTATATGACGCGCATATTTTGCTGACGACGCTCGAGCGGGCTGTTGGGCGCTTGAGCGGAAATCGCGGGACAGATTCTATAAATTCACGTGTTGGGTCAGATTTTAGGATTACTGCTCCAGATCTTCTTTTTGGTTTCTAGGGTTTATATCTGGGGATACTTTGTGAGTTTTCTTTGATGTTTTATTGAGTATTCAACTCATGATTTAAAGAGAGTACATCAAAGGTTGTGTTTTGTTCTACAAAAGAGAGAATTATTCTTCGGTGAATTCTGAAGGATTCGAGCCTGAAGCTTTGGTGGATTCCGAGGTGGCTCATCGTAAAGACAATTCCGAGGTGAAGACGGGTTGGAAGAGGCACATAGAGGTTGGTTCAATTAGGCGTTGTGGATTCGCTAGGTAATTGAGAGTATACCTGTGTAATTCCTTTAAATCTTCTTAGTGGATTGTTTTGTAGCTATTGCCCGTGGTTTTTTGATCACAGTTGGAGGTGTCCAATTGTGATTTTTTTCACGTTAAATCGTTGTGTCTCTTTGTCTTGATTGTTTGATTGTTTGATTGGGATTGTTATATTCTGCTTAAAATTGATACATAATCACAAATCAACATCTAGGGGATTTTCTAGATTTTTCAGACTGAAATTAGCATTCACTTAGGATATCTAATTTGCTTATATGATAATCAGCACAGTTAATATAGTGAACCAGTAGATTACGGCGACTGCAAATGGTATGAAATCGAATAAATTGGGCACATTTAGTGGATTTTTTGGCTAATTTGAGACAAGCAATATGGTAAGCAGTTTGGTGAATAAGGTTTCGGTAATAAGTAACTTGTGATTTATGGTAGGAAATAAAAGGAGTTGCCATCCCTTATCCCCCCTATAAAAATTCTCTGGTAAGGAAATTAGGAATAGAATTTTGAGAACCAGGTATATATTCAATATCAAAATAAAAAATGCTCAAAAAAAGACTGCCAACGGGCAAAAATTTGTTTACTAGCAAGATTTTGAACATCTTTTTCTAACACATACTTAGCAGATTTGCAATCAACACGAAGTAAAAATTTTTGATTTAAAATATCATCTTGAAATTTACTAATACATAAAACAGTAGATAAAATCTCTTGTTTAATAGTATTATAATTTTTTTGTGCTTTATTCCAGACACCAGAATGAAAATGGACTATTTGTTCGGAGGACTGAGGAGTGATTTTTTGGAGAAGGATACTACCATAACCAATATCAGAAACGTCAGTTTGAATAATTTTAAATGAATTTTCAGTACGAATACCAAGACAAGGTAAAGTTTTGACATATT